CGCCGCCGCTGCTGCTGCTGCTGCTGCAGCCTTTGGGGGCCCCGCGCTGCTGCAGGGGCCCCTGCGGCCCCTGCCTGCTGCTGCTGAACGTTTCATGCTGACAATTAATAGAGTTGATTGTTTTGTTTATAATGCTGCTGAAGGGAAAAGTTACCATGTCTTTAAGGCTTCTCCTGCAGCAGCAGCAGCACCAGCGGCCGCCGGCAGCAGCAGCAGCGCAGCAGCAGCAGCAGCAGCAGCGCCGGTTGCCTTCAGATACGCCTCGGGGGGCCCCACAGCTCTTCCTGCCGAGGACCCCGTAGGGTACTTTCCTGCTGCAGTTTATTTCCTTGTTGATATTGCTGTCTCCAAAAAGAGACCACGCAGCAGCAGCAGCAGCAGCTGCAGTAGCAGCAGCAGCAGCAGCGGTGTGTGTCGCTGCTCCTGCGACATGTGCACCGCGCGGAGGACTGCGACTGGCAGCTCCAGCACCACCAGCGACACTAGCAGCAGCAGCTGCAGCAGCAGCAGCAGCAGCAGCAGCAGCAGCTGGCGGCGCTGCGCCGCTGCTGAGAGGGCCGTTTGGCTGTCTCTGGGCAGCAACGTGCGTCGGGTGCAGCAGGCTGTCTTGACAGTGAGTCCCTTAGTGGCGAGTTTTGATTTTACATTTTTGTCTTTGCTGCTGCCGCCGATGCTGCTGTCCTTCTCGGAGCCAGCAGCAGCAGCAGCAGCAGCAGCAGCAGCCACAGCAGCAGCGCGCGTCGCGGGCGGCCCGGGCGGAGCAGCAGCGGCAGCAGCAGCGGAGGCGGAGGCCACGCTTTCCCGCTGGCTGTGCCTCGCCGTGCCCGGCTTCAGCAGCAGCAGCAGCGGGGCCCCACAGCAGCAGCAGCAGCAGCAGCAGCAGCAGCTGGAAGTGCACGTGGAGCTGCTGTGGGTGGGAGAGTGCTCCGCACATTTGTCTGTCTCCAGACTCTACAGAGTCCTTTCTCTTGAAGGAGCTCTTTTTAGTTTTTCTGCTTTTGTGCTGCGGCAGCGGCAGCTGCAGCTGCGGGATGTGCTGCTGCTGCTGCTGCAGCACTACCAGCAGCAGCTGCAGCAGCAGTGGCTCCAAATGCTCCTCTCCGTCGACATCCTCGGCAGACCCATCTCCCGCATCCGAAAGCTGTGGCACGAAGTGAGCTTTTTGCTGCTGCTGCAGCTGCTGCAGCAGCAGCAGCTGCTGCTGCTGCTGCGCTGCCGCTCGCTGTGTGCCCCCTGCAGCGCTGCGTTTTGCTGCTGCCTTTCTGTCTCTTTCTTTCCACACTTTTCTTCTTCTTTTCCATTTTCTTCCTTTTTATTTCTTTATTTCATTTTATTTTCTTTTATTTTTGTTGTTTTATTTTTACTTTTATTTTTAGTTTTAGTTTCTTGTCTTTCTGCTGGAGGCCCTCGGCCGCTGCATGCAGCGGGTGTCTTCTTTTTGTCATCTTTATTTTTTTATTTCTTTTTTCTCTTATTTCCTTTGTCTTTATTTGTTTTCTTTTCATTTTATTTTATTTAACTTTTATTCTTTTCTACTTTTTGCATGCGCCATTTCAATTAAAATGACTTTTGCAAAACACGCATATGAAGTGCTGCAGCACTTCGAGTGTACGTACACTCGAGCCCCACGCAGAGATTGCTGCGGAGGTTTTTTCGTTTGTTGAATTTCGGAAATTTCTTTTTTTGATTTTAATTCCCTTTGCCAAATGCAGCTATTATTTATTCCATTTCATCTCATTTAGTCCTTTTGCGCTGCTGCAGCAGCTTTTTTTGCATGCATGCAGCAGCAGAAACGTTTTAGAAGCTAAGTGGGCCACTGCATGCATTTTGGGGGCTTTTTTGCTTGCGCTGCTGATCAGGGCTTCCGCTGGCTGCTGCGGCTGGCCCCACAAGACGCAGCTTCTTCCTTTGCTGCAGTGGACTTGCTGCTGCTGCCCTGGAGCATGGTCTCGCTGCAGCAGCTGCTGCTGCTGCTCTGCGAAACTGTTGCTTTTCACCTCCGCAGGGTCAGGGGGCCCCCAAACCCTCAGGGGGCCCCCCCCCTCCCCAGGCTGCTGCCAGCCCCGCTGCCAGCGCAGCTTGTGGGGCCCCTCCAAATAGCTACGCTGCAGTCAACTAGCCAGCAGCAGCAGCAGCAGCAGCAGCAGCAGAGGAGCCGCAGGCACAGGGACTACGAGGGCTGGAGCAGGGAGGCCGAAGCGAGCTTTGCGGCTGACCGGCAGCAGCAGCAGCAGCGGCGGCAGCAGCGCATGCAGCAGCGCATGCAGCAGCAGCAGCAGCAGCAGCAGGAGCTGCTCTCGGAGGAACGCTCTGTCTCTCCTTCTTTGCCCGCCATCTACAGCAGCCCCTACTGCGCCGTTGCAGAGGGGCCCCCTCTCTCCTGTCTACGCCCTCTGGGGCCCCCTATGGGGCCCCCAATGGGGCCCCCAATGGGGCCCCCTGTGGGGCCCCTCATGAGGCCCCCTGGGGGGCCCCCCGTGGGCCGCCCGCTGGGGCCTTCTTTGGGGCCCTCTATGGGACCCCCTATGGAGCCCCCCGTGGGGCCCCATAGGGGGGCCCCTATTAGGCCCCCTCTGGGGCCCCATAGGGAGCCCCCTCGGGGGGCCCCTGTGGGGCCCCCTATGGGGCCCCCAATGGGGCCCACTCTGGGGGCCCCTGTGGGGCCCCCTGTGGGTGTAGAGTGTTTTGATGAAGTGCCTTTTGTGTCTTCTGGGTTTTCAAAAGAGGCCCCATTTGAGGTGTACAGGCAGGGGGGCCCCCCTGGGGTGTATACGCAGGGGGGCCCCCCTCCGGCTTTTTTGTCTCCCACAGCATCTGAAGAAGCAGATTCTCTTTCTTCTCTTCCTTCTTTGCGCAATTTGCTTCCGCCTTCGCAAGCAGCAGCAGCAGCAGCAGCAGCAGCGCCAGCAGCAGCAGCAGCAGGCGTTGCAGCGGGCGCTGCAGAAGCCGCTGCTGCGCCGCCGCCCCCCCTTTCCTCAGCCCACACTCTAGGAAGCTCCAGCAGCAGCAGCAGCAGCAGCAGCGCTCTGCATGCAGCAGCAGCAGCAGGGACTTGTCCGTGGGCCCCTAGCGAGGGCATATACCCTGTGGTGGCTCAGCTGCCGGAGGACCTTTTCTCTTAATTTTGTCTTTTTATCATTTCTTTTTTTCTTTTTATTTCTTTTCATTTCTTTTTATTTCTTTTTTGTTTCTTTTTACCTTTTCCTTTTTATTTCTTTTTCTTTCTTTTAAATGCTGGGCCTTAGAGGGCGCTGCCAGCAGCTAGCTAGCCAAGTGTGGGGCCCCACAAGTAACTTATTTGCTGCAGCAGACAAAAGGGTACTACTGTGGGCTCTTTTGTGGGGTGAGTAGCTCAGCAGCAGCAGCTGCTGCAGCAGCTGCTGCTGCTGCTGCTGAGGGCGTTTTTGGGGTGTACGTACACCTGAGGGCAGCGGCGGCCCCACTGCTGCGGCTTCAGCTTGTGAGCAGAGGGATCATTTAATTGATTTAATTAATTAAATTAATTAATTAAATTGATTAAATTTATTTAATTTAATCAAATTAATCAGGTTAATTAATTAAATTGATTTATAGCCTCTATGCCCAGTTGGGCTTGCGAGCAAAGCAAAGGGCGCAGCAGCAGCAGCAGCAGCACAAGGGGCTGCGCTGCAGCAGCAGAATTAAGAGCAGCAGAAAAATCTGAAACTGATTTGAAAACTTTGCTGCTGCACAGCAGCAAATGTACTCTGCTGCTGCAGCAGAATGTGCAGTGGCAGCAAGACCGTTGCTGCAGCAGCAGCAAAAGCCACAGTGGCGATATGGGCTGGGCTGCAGCAGCAGCAGCTACCGCAGCAGAATCTGTTATAGAAATATAAACTCGGCAGCAGCAGCAGCAGCAGCAGCGTCAAAACCAGTGGTAAAATGTAGACTTGGCAGCAGCAGTAGCTGCAGCAGAATCGGCCCTCGAAATATAAACTGGGTAGCAGCAGCAGCAGCAGCAGCAGCAGCAGCGCGAAAGTGCGTCATGAAAATATAAACTTGGCAGCAGCAGCAGATGCAGCAGCAGCAACAAAAGCATGGACGGGGCTGAAGCGCCCGGCCCTAAAGGGCAGAATGGCTCATCGGGGTTTTATTTTTGAGGGTTTGAGGCCATTAAGTGGTTCCTGCTGCTGCTTTTTTGAACAAAGGAGCAGCAGCAAGTTTTTAATTTGTTTTGCTGCTGCTTAATTACTTTTTAAATTTATTTTCTTCTCGAAAGATCGCCGGAAGAAGGAAGTGACCTCGGCGCGCGCTGGGGTGTATGTACACCTGCGGCGCAGTCGGCCGCGGCGGCCGATCACTCCGTCCGCTCACTAATGCGTCATTTATGTATTTAATTAATCTATTTTGAATTATATTTTATATTTTTAAATTACTTTTTATTTAAATTTCCAAATTTTCAGGCTTTTTGCAACCACCAAGAGCAAAAGAAGACCCGAAACACCAGCCCCACCAACCCCACGGGTCCCAGCCCGGGCCTTCCCAAGCCCTAAACCCTAGCGCTAATAAATGCCTTTTTCCAATTTGACTATGCTGGCGCTTTCTCTTTTAGGGTTTAGGGTTTAGGGTTTAGGGTCCAGGTCTGCACCTCGCCCGTGAAACCCGGCGGAGGCTCCTCTAGGGTTTAGGGTTTAGGGTTTAGGG